TTTTTTCCGTGTAGTGTAGAGATAGAATAGTACGATGTATAATACTACGATGAGTGCTCCCCGCTTGTTATAAATGGCGATTAGAAGAGTTAAGTTGTTGAGGACTAACCATCTTCTTCCATAAAAAGCTCTGATTCAAGAAATGTCAAGTGGAAAAATATCAGAGTTGGAATCAACGTTGACAATCTTCAGTTGTCAAAATTGGAGAAAATACTCTAAGAGGTCGCACAATGGGGTGCAACGTGGCGACAAGTAAAAATGCCAAGAGGTAACACGCGATTTCACTTCGAGTTTCTCGAACGTTTCTCGAACTTTCATGATACACAATTTTGCTTCTAATGCCATTAGACGCGAGTATGAAATATACATTAGCCGACCAATTTCTTTTCCGTTTATTTTGCCGCAATTGTGTCACACACTTGGATTTACTAGCCGAGTGATTTATTTTCCCACTTCTTGTTTTCGACGGTGCACTTGTTGCACGGAGAGGTGCCGTTTGCGAAAATCAGCGCGCCATTACCCCGAACGGCTTGTATGCCGTTTGGAGCGGTCATCTCGCGCTCGAGCGCGCGCGTCCGCCGAAGATAAACTTTTATATCACTGTCAGCTGCGCACTACGGAGTGGCAGTAATTGTTTGCGCGGAGAGCGCTTTAACCGCGAGAAAGTATACGCGAGTCGGTAAAGTCGCATATCTTTCTTTTCTCGTAATTTTTCCACAATTGTATCAGTTTCATCTGGTCCCTCTCGCGCGTTCAAGTGTTGGCCAACAATAAAGCGCGATCTTGTCGACCTGTTCGCGAATCTCTCTCGGAATCTCTTTCAAGCGCTTCCGACTGTTCGCTCACTTTTCAACAGCCATAGCTGCAAAGATTATCTCACGCTCAACTTTCATAGATATCACTACGACTGTCGTTATGCGTGCGAGTATAGTCGCGTGTTCTTATCTCGCCGCTTTGAGACCTGTCCAATATTCATGTGCTTCGAGCTTCAACTGAGGATCACAATTCTAACCCTATCTTATCAAAGCGCCTGGTTTCCACGTTGCGATCTTCCCTCATCAAACTCCTCGGGATTCGCCTTCGCTGTGGATTCCGCAATTTTAACCCATTTTACGGTATTTGCTTGGGGAGAGTTCAGTTTCGGATACGTCCTTTCCACCCACTCCTTCCCCCCTCTCTCTTCCCTCTCGCTGTCTCTCTCTTTTTCCGCATCCGTTTGTCTCGAGAAATAAGAGACGGTTTTATATTTCACCACCGTTGCCCCCGTCTTCGCCGTCCCTGTTTTCACGCGGTTTTCATTCGTTCCTTTTGTCCATATACGAGAGAGAGGGAGAGAGGATGGCCACGTTAAAGCGGAGCGCCGAAATGAATGGTCGGGGAATTATTCACTTTGCGAATCTCGGTGAGTGGATGGAGAAAGAGAGAGAGAGAGAGAGAGAGAGAGAGAGAGAGAGAGAGA